TATAGAGCCATCTTCTATGTCCAGTATATAGAGCCATCTTCTATGTCCAGTATAGAGCCATATATAGAGCCATCTTCTATGTCCAGTATAGAGCCATCTTCTATGTCCAGTATAGAGCCATCTTCTATGTCCATCTTCTATGTCCAGTATAGAGCCATCTTCTATGTCCAGTATAGAGCCATCTTCTATGTCCAGTATAGAGCACATTTCTGTGTCCAGTATAGAGCCATCTTCTATGTCCAGTATAGAGCCATCTTCTGTGTCCAGTATAGAGCCATCTTCTATGTCCAGTATAGAGCCATCTTCTATGTCCAGTATAGAGCCATCTTCTATGTCCAGTATAGAGCCATCTTCTCTGTCCAGTATAGAGCCATCTTCTATGTCCAGTATAGAGCCATCTTCTGTGTCCAGTATAGAGCCATCTTCTATGTCCAGTATAGAGCCATCTTCTATGTCCAGTATAGAGCCATCTTCTGTGTCCAGTATAGAGCCATCTTCTATGTCCAGTATAGAGCCATCTTCTATGTCCAGTATAGAGCCATCTTCTATGTCCAGTATAGAGCCATCTTCTATGTCCAGTATAGAGCCATCTGGGTCCAGTATAGAGGCATCTTCTATGTCCAGTATAGAGCCATCTGGGTCCAGTATAGAGGCATCTTCTATGTCCAGTATAGAGCCATCTTCTATGTCTAGTATAGAGCCATCTTCTATGTCCAGTATAGAGCCATCTTCTGTGTCCAGTATAGAGCCATCTTCTATGTCCAGTATAGAGCCATCTTCTATGTCCAGTATAGAGCCATCTTCTATGTTCAATATAGAGCCATCTTCTGTGTCCAGTATAGAGCCATCTTCTGTGTCCAGTATAGAGCCATCTTCTATGTCCAGTATAGAGCCATCTTCTGTGTCCAGAATAGAGCCATCTTCTGTGTCCAGTATAGAGCCATCTTCTGTGTTTTAGAGCTGTTGATACTAGTGCTTGCCCAGAGATTTCTCTGACTTTTTTACTCCATTTGAATTCTTCTCATTTTATGTTAATAGTTCTGTATACATTTACTAACATATGTTACAACTAAACTAAAATAGAAGTAAAAATTTGTAAGTTAGGTTTTAATAGGTAAACAACTTAGAATTCCACATTTTGTTCCGGTTTTTAAAAGCTACTGCAGGTCTGTCAATAAGTGACATTGTTTGTTGATTTGTGTTTCCTTGACTGTCAAAATTAATACCTAAATAAGTAAACTGATCTATTTCTTTAGTTTTTGTCTTTTTCTTTGTTACATTTGCTTGATCTGTTATTTTCGTCTCCAAATCTTGTGTCACATACATTGATTGTGTTTGTTGTGTTTTCTGTTGAGATGCAGGCAGGCAGTGAAAGTTCTCTCTCTTTCTTGTGTGCGCGTGCATGGTTAGAATAACGCCAAGCGTGCAGTTTGTGAATGCATGCGCCATTTGATCTTCTCTCTGTTAGAGGACTTGACCCGCCAATAAGCACATTTTGGACTAAAGAGTTTTGAAAGAATCACCAACTGAAGTTGTGACAATTCAAAACTACTGATCTTTATGACGCGCTGTGAGAACAGTTAACGTGTCCATGGAATATACATTGAGCTCAGCGTATCTATAAAATATACGTTAAGCCACACAGATACAGAAACGCACTGACACACACACACACACACCCACCCACACACACCCACACACACACACACAGACACCCGCACGCGCACGCACACCCACATATTTACCACAGTTATCATTTAATGTTATCAACACATGGCGCAATTATCACCGACTTTGCCAGTAATTAATTCTCCAGTTTGTCACAGTCTACGGGAAGTAATCTACAAATGTAAACATTTCCCCAGTGAAGAGCAGATAACCGTGCTCGTCAGACCCTTGAGATAACTGGTGCGCTCTTGGGTCAGGCAGATATGGCAGATTAGAAAGATTACATCCGGAAACATAAGTCGACTTATTAAGAAGCAAACTAATGATGATTGAACCTGCTGGTTGAAATCTGAGATTTAAAACCATTTTTTCTGACGCCGCTGCGGTGGTCTGAGTGAGGGCAGGTCTGCAACAATCTACTGCAGGGGAGATACCGTGAACGTCTTCCTCTTGCGCCACAACCGAGGACTGGGGTTTTGAAGTGTTTGCGACGGTCAGCCATGATTTGTAACGCTCAGCCATGATTTGTGACGGTGAGCCGTGATTTGTGACGGTCAGCCGTGATTTGTGACGGTCAGCCGTAATTTGTGACGGTCAGCCGTGATTTGTGACGGTGAGCCGTGATTTGTGACGGTCAGCCGTGATTTGTGACGGTCAGCCGTGATTTGTGACGGTCAGCCGTGATTTGTGACGGTCAGCCGTGATTTGTGACGGACAGCCGTGATTTGTGACGGTCAGCCGTGATTTGTGACGGTCAGCCGTGATTTGTGACGGTGAGCCGTGATTTGTGACAGTGATTGTGACGGTGACAGTGATTTGTGACGGTTTGTTGACGGACAGCCGTGTTTGAGCGGACAGTCGTGATTTGTGACGGTCAGCCGTGATTTGTGACGGACAGTCGTGATTTGTGACGGTGAGCCGTGATTTGTGACGGTCAGCCGTGATTTGTGACGGACAGTTGTGATTTGTGACGTTCAGCCGTGACTGCTTGTGACGTATACAGATTCACTCTGACTTCGAATGAAAGCTATGACAACACTCTAATTAGGCGACTTTTACCACATGCTCGATACCAGAGTAACAGGGGGTGGGGAGTGTGGGTCTGTTATTATTCCCTCCCTCCCTCCCCCACCCCAATCGGGGCTCATGAATCCACACGATATCTTTTATTGTTACTGGGTGAGCAGCTTGGTGGGGTGTTCAGTTGTGAGAAAGTTCAGTCTGTAGCCATCTCGAGCCAAAAATAAATCAGAGATGTCACGTTGGTGTTCATAGGGCAAATCGTGACACGTGAATGGGAACAACTTTTTGAGGAACAGTCACGATATGACACAAGATACCTGCTAGAGATTATAATAGAAAGACCAAGGCAACAGTAGCCTTTTGGAAAGACAGAGAACGTACTCACTAAAGAGCAAGATATCAGATGTTGCTAGGAAAAGCGTATAAAAATACTATAAATAGAACTTGTACTATTTAATGGAAGAAAAGCATGGACAGGAACACAAGCTGGGAAATAGATAATGGCAGCAGAGATATGGTGTTTCCGAAATAAAATTAAAAAAAAAGGAAAAAGCAAAGAAAAAAACCACGGCGACAGAAAAAAAACACGACTAGCCAGTGCTCCAGGAAACATATCAAGTGGATAAACAATGAAGAATTAAGACGGGGAGTGTAAAAATGTGCTGACCTAGTTACTAGAAGAAAAACACTTGCAAACTTAGTGCCAGCTGGCAATACTGATGCTAAATAACAAAACAAAGGAAAATCAAAGAAATGATTGTCTGGATGGTTTGGCCACATGGCATGACCAGGACAAGATCGGCAACCTGATCCGTTGGTCCAGGATTCTATTAATGTTTTGAGGTGGCTAACTTTAGCCACCCACACGTATCAGCGAAACACACGTCATTATATTAGCCAGTATGTCAAACTTAGTGGAATCTGAGACTTGCCCCGGCTTGAGCCACCATTAAAGTACTCATTTCCTTCCTTCACGAAGTCGCACTGTGATACTGTACCAGACGCGTTGGTTCAAATGACTTCATCAGGGAGTGTTGTTACAACGTAGTTTCGCGGACTCATTCATCATGGTATACTCTGAAATAATCAGATTGTACCACTTGACGCTCACAACGTCCAATTTTGCCATCTGGTTTCGCGCCACTTTACCAGGGAAACACGAGACGGCTGAGACGAGAGCGAATGGTTGTGATGTTTAGTGATGCCGACATTGGAGATGACAAACAGACGATACCATGATGAGCGGAAACACGCGGTTTTAAGCCCATTTCCTATTAATCTGTTCAGAGTAAAGTCAGTGGCTACCTCATCTCAGCATAGCTCTTCAGCAACGGTTGGATTTACAACGGAAATCCTTGGTCCATGCGCATACAATAAGTGAAACAATCTGACGATTATCTTACCCTTTACGGTCATCGCCATGGCTTATGTTTATATTGATGGATTCCAAGTTTACGGACCATGTGTACACCGTATTTACTGAGATAAGATCGCGCTTGCGAGAGTTGAGGCGATTTACCGCTCTGTAGGGCGGCTGGAGTTTTGTCAGTGTCAACATTGTCTCTAGTCTAGATCCCAAAGATACAATCATTTCAAAGTAAACACTCTTTTGTGCTTTAATTGCCGCAAACACCTGTACGTTGCTGTATTATACTCTCTCCTCTTTCTGTCTGCTTCTTCTCTGTATATATATATATCTATCTATATCTATATATATATATATATATATATATATATATATATATATATATGTGTGTGTGTGTGTGTGTGTGTGTGTTTGAAGCCAAACTTCACACACTTGGTTATTCGATGTTCTCTGGAACATAGTCATATAGGAGCTAGAGAGCTTGCCAACCACAAGGCTGGTCCCAGCTGACGCCTGGGTTGATTAGATGTGTTTGACTTGTACAGCTGACGCCTGGGTTGCTTAGATGTGTTTGACTTGTACAGCTGACACCAGGGTTGATTAGATGTGTTTGACTTGTACAGCTGACGCCTGGGTTGATTAGATGTGTTTGACTTGTACAGCTGACGCCTGGGTTGATTAGATGTGTTTGACTTGTACAGCTGACGCCTGGGTTGATTAGATGTGTTTGACTTGTACAGCTGACGCCTGAGTTGATTAGATGTGTTTGACTTGTACAGCTGACGCCTGGGTTGATTAGATGTGTTTGACTTGTACAGCTGACACCTGGGTTGCTTAGATGTGTTTGACTTGTACAGCTGACACCAGGGTTGATTAGATGTGTTTGACTTGTACAGCTAACGGTTGGAATGAGTGTCGGCAACTGGCGATGCGGAGAAGGATGATGGTCTTGCTGAGAAGGAAACCAACAAGGAAAGACAGAATTGTGTGTGCTTGCATTAAGCTCATTTAGTCACATTTGGACGCATGTGAACATAAACGGTCTGTCTCACACAAACACACACACGCGCGCGCGCACACATACACACCAGTACACACACACACACTCACCAGCACACACACACACACACACACGCGCGCGCGCGCAAACACGCCAACACATACACACACACCAGCACACACATACTCACACGCAGGCACTAATGTCTGTCCACACATCCGTCTGCAGGTTGAGAACATCAACACCAGTCTGACGTTTCTGGCAAGTCTCGGGGTCAGTGTAGACGGCGTCAGTGCCAAAGGTAGGCATTCATTCATTCATTCATTCATTCATTCATTCATTCATTCATTCATTCATTCATTCATTGTTTCGTTTATTTCCCTTTCATATTTCTCTTTCCCCTCCTAACTTTGTGTAAATTGACCTTCCACGTGCATTCAAACCATCCTAACTCGGTACTTTACTTTCTGATTATTTTCTAAAGCATTGTCATTGCTAAGGTCAACCATGGACTTGGGTGGTAATAAAAGGTCAAGGTCAAGTCGGGAGATGTGAACCAGCATCATTGTACACGGTTATAAACCATAAGTGCTCTGCCACCAGTACGGACAGCTGATAAGAATTTTCCGCCTGCGTCGCCGTTCGCATGTAACTCTGTAGCTACAGCGACGTTCCTCCAGTTACCCCAGAGTTTCAACTCTTGTACCCATTTTCTAGGGGCTAGGTGAACCCCGGGAGCCGCCCGGTTTCAAACACCGACCGTGGCTGCAGTGAGTCGCAGTTGGATTTGAAAGCGAGTCTCGTATCGACTGCGCTGACGCGGCCCGGGGTGGGTGTTAATTTTTTTTCCCATGCACCCAAGCATGCACACGTGCTGGCGTGGTCTTTATCTGAATAGCCAAGAATAATGAGATATCTCTCGGGGCAAGGAGCCACCAACTGCTGGAGAACATCCGCCTTTGCCTGCACCCACCTCACCGAGACGCCGCTGTTTCTTGTACACGGTCAAACGAGTTTTTGTAGTTTACTGCGGTACAACACGATCATTTAGCTCAGCGGCACGCAAATTCCTAATCAGGCTGGAGAATGCTGAGTATATCTGGCAAGTGATTTGAATAAAACATTTGTGCTTTTGTAACTGGTGGCAGGAAGGACATGAATAATGGATGCCTGCCTGCATGGCATTTCTCCGCAAAATTGAGCAAGCAAACGATAAAACATGATCTTTTTGGTTTTTCTACAAATTGATTTATAAGGCAGCTTATCGGAAATCCTGTGTTTATTTGTTGTCAGATTCACAAAAACAAAAACCCTAACAACATCTGGATAATGAAGACGTGGCTAATGAGATGATAATAGCAATACAATATTATTATCATTATCATCATCAATATTTTCATCATGTTAGAGGTACTTCCTAGAACGTCGCTTTCCGCACAGACCACGAGAATAAGATTGGACACTTCACCAGTTTGTCCTCGTCGTCGTTGTTGTCGTCTTCTTCTTTTTTTTCCAACCTAATGTTAAAATCTACTCTCCGTTCAACAAAAATGTTTTTAGTTGCAAATTTAAAATATTCCATAAGTAACAGACTACATAATTATTACCTGTAATTGTCTACCACCAACTGTATGCTACAAAAATGACATCAATATGTAATGAAAAACAACAATGTCTTTTTTCTCTTGACATACACGAGTCAGGTAATCCACTGTTTCACATTGCGTCCACCGGGGCAGTCCTAAATTACCCACATGTTCCTTTTGTTTGCACAAAGTGCTATCACTTTAAAATGTCATGATCTAGGATACACGGGGTCATATTCTAATTCTCCTACAAACATATTCCAATAGACTCATCGCTACCATTTCTATGTATTATTTAAGACCATCAATTTCTTCTCCGACAACAATTTGTCCGTGTCCGGCTGCAGATCGAACGAATGAAGACCTGGGGTCATTTATTTTCCCAGCTGAACTAGTCTAAGGTCGCAAACCCCGATTATCAAAGAAAGGGGTTACTTCCTGATAGTAACTAAGGGCGCTTAGCTTGGGTCAAGTTTCTGAATCATTCGAGACTGACCGAAGATCCGTTTGTACGTTAATAATTACCTCCATCTTGTAGGAGTCATCCCGCTTTTGTGAGCGCTCCAGGACAGGAGGAACTTCGAAAAGAACGAGTTGAGGGAGGGCGGTTTAATGGAAGGACTGGTTAAGAAAAGACCGGGTTAAGGAAAAGGCGGGTTAAGGAAAGGACGGATTAAGGAAAGGACGGGTTAAGGAAAGGACGGGTTAAGGAAAGGGTGGGTTAAGGAAAGGAGAGGTTAATGAAAGGAGAGGTTGAGGAAAGGACGGTTTAAGGAAAGGACGGGTTAAGGAAAGGAGAGGTTAAGGAAAGGAGAGGTTAAGGAAAGGACGGTTTAAGGAGAGGACAGGTTAAGGAAAGGACGGGTTATGGAATGGGCCGGTTAAGGACAGGAGGGGTTGGCAGGGTCTAAGGACGGGTTAAGGAAGGGCAACTCACTCAAGCTTGGCACTACAAAATATATAATATTCCGGCGGGTTGAGGAAAGGAGATGTTAAAGAAAGGACAGGTTAAGGAAAGGACGGGTTATGGAATGGGCCGGTTAAGGACAGGAGGGGTTAGGGAAAGGACGGGTTAAGGAAAGGACGGGTTATGGAAGGGGCCGGTTAAGGACAGGAGGGGTTAGGGAAAGGGCGGGTTGAGGAAAGGAGATGTTGAGGAAAGGAGAGGTTGAGGAAAATTGGTTTGAGGAAAGGACGGGTTAAGGAAATGAGAGGTTAGGGAAAGGAGAGGTTGAGGAAAGGACATTTTAAGGAAAGGACGGGTTAAGGAAAGGACGGGTTATGGAAAAGACGATTAGGTCGATCATTGTCAAGTACCTTCAGACAGTCGTGACGTTTCTGTGGACAACAGTCGACGTATAATTTATTAGAGTTAGTAACGCTCTTTTAATTATTCACTTCCTCTTTCCCCGCTTAGGGTTTGACAGATGATACAAGATTCGGTTTCTTGCTCTTCCACCATATATTTTTCTTGGTCTGCCCGGTGCTCTACTTCCTTCTTCTCTTTTGGCTTATGCCTTGTATGGTATGACGTCATAAGGCGTTCTGTCTACGTTGGCAAACCATTTGAGCTGCCGTCTTTGCGTGTAATTTAGAATTGATTCTGTGCGGCCTGTCTCGTGACCTCATTCCTGCTGTTGACTTCCATGGTCACTCCTTCAGCCCTTCTGAGGCATCTCATTTCCATGGTTACTACAATTTCTTTCTGTTTTGGTTGAGTGACTATTGTGGCAAAGGAAGCATTAAGTAGGAAAACATCTTCATCATGTCTCACTGACCGTATATCGATAGGATGGAAGCTTGGTGTACTCACTCCAACTTGTGCAGGAAACCTGACCAACAAGAGCCCTGTCCCAGTCAGATGTATTGTAACTTCGATCTCCTTGCTGGCGCTTGACCATAGACTGTTGATGCTGTTCAATCTTTATCTTGTTATGACCATCCTCCTCTGCAGATATAAAAGACGGCAACCTCAAGTCAATCCTTGGACTGTTCTTCAGTCTGTCCCGCTACAAGCAGCAACAGAAGTCGCTGCAGCAGCAGCACAAACAGCAACATCAACATCTCAACCAAGAGCAGCAGCATCGGTTATCAGAGGAACATCAGCCGCGAGGTCAGGGGTCAACGTCTGTCCGGTGGGAGACAACAGCATCAGCAACAACAGCTGCAGCGGTCACCAAGGGGTCAAGAATTTACCTGGGGCGCTGGAGGACACATCCAGGTAAGAGAATAAACTTGACTGGCACTCATGTAATCATTCATACTTATGTGTATTGTCAAGTAAGAAACCCATAGTCACATCAATGTGCATTGAGTATTCCCGTGCATCTCAGACCCACGATGCACCAGCCACTCCAAGGTGCCTCTATTGATTGTTCCAGTGAGTAACCGGCTATAATATCTCTTATCTCGGTCTCCAAGGCGACATAGGCGTGCTTCACCAAGCTGCACTCCGGTGTAACGTAATCGTGTTAGTGTCAGCAATTCGTCGTTATCCATTAACCTGATCCGTACAGAGCTGATGATATCCCCTGAGCCCAAGCTTCCTCCCAAAATGGTTGGAGAACTGCTTGCCAGTTGGTCCGCTCGTTCGTTAGGCTGGATCGACCAGGGAGGACAGATAATTGGAGCAAACAATCCCACTCGATGCGGATTTGAACTCAAAACATTCAAGACGGAAAGCGAGTGTTTCTAACCACCACACCAATGCGGTATTCGTGAGATCAGTAGCTTTGCTGAATTCTGTCTGTCACGGTGAGAGATGGCAGTCAACGCTTTTCACATTTATGCAAGACACGTAGGATGAAAGGGTTAAAATATGAACACCAGGATAAAAGTTAGGGTAAGAGCTCTTCAGAAATAGCTTATTTAAGAACTGTCTTAAATAGAAGCAATTCAAGGTAATCTATAAATATATATATGAGACACTCTCCACCAGCACCCTCTAGCTACTAAACAATGCACACCTACACCCTCCACCGTCTCAGACTCACCACCACCCTCTTGCTACTCAACAAGGCACACCTACACCCTCCACCGTCTCAGACTCACCACCCCCCTCTTGCTACTCAACAATGCACACCTACACCCTCCACCGTCTCAGCCTCACCACCACCCTCTGACTACTCAACAATTTACACCTACACCCTCCACCGTCTCAGACTCCTGCAGGTATCTGGCCTGTGAGCCAAGTCTGTGTGCGTGCCCAACATGGCAAACAAAGCAGCCACTGTTTGTTCCCCCACTACTTTGTTTTTTTTCCCCAAAGAGATAGGCTCTATCAGGCCGGAAGTCGGTAAATAGGCACGTGCCAACACAGCCTTTAGATTCCCGTGATTCTGTGATCTATCAGCGAGAGGATATCGTGTGAGCCGGATTAGTGGTGTGCGTGCCCAACATGCAAACAACAAAACTTTGACCTTCGTTTTTCTGTAAACAGACCCCGCCACAAAACTCCCGTGGAGACCATAAAAACTTTAGGTTGGCAGACCAACTTTAGTTACACGGATTCTGTAAGACACCACAACCTCTCGTCTCGTGTACTCCACAACCTTCTGTCTCGTGTACTCCCACTGAGTTGTGACACAGATGATCCTCCGTAACATGATGTCCAACTTTCTAACATCTTCTTTCTCTGCCTCTTTCCCCCTCTACCTTTCCCATCTTCACGATGTAATCAAGTTTTCTTCTTCCCATGACATGACCAAAAAATACAGACTGTCTCCTTCTAAGGTGGCTAATCGGTTCTCTTCGTGAGTCAGTTTCTGTCCAGACATCTTCACTATTCTTGTGACTTGTCCTGCGTATTCTCGTACGGTATTTATATATTTTAATCAAAGAAAAGCAATAAATTGCCTGACATAGTGTTTGCTACATACCAGAAGAACAACACCAGCGTTGCTTGTTTATTCGTTTAAATCCAGAAGCCATGAGTTGTTAACCCTTTATATCGCAACCCAACGCCTTAATTCCATGATAGGTACCCTAAATCTGGGATAAATGTGGCTTTTCTGCCTACCCCTGGGCTTGAACCCGGACCACAAGGAAATCGTCACCGCGAAGTCAGGTTTAACTAACTACGCTATCGAGCCGGGCTTGCTTGTATATAAATGTGCCCGGTCACGTGAGTGTTGTGAGTACTGAGGTTGGAACTTAACCGTTTGTACGCATGGTTACCGCCTACACCAGAGACGGTTACCGCCTACACCAGAGACGGTTACCGCCTACACCAGAGACGGTTACCGCCTACACCAGCGACGGTTACCGCCTACACCAGAGACGGTTACCGCCATCAGCGCCGCAAACATCATCGGGTGCCATGTTCCTCACGTCAAGCGATCTCCAATACAAAGAAATACCCCCTTGTGCTAACGAGTTTTAAAACAAAATGAAATACTGTCAAAAATGTTACCGTCTCGCAGTCTTTTGTCATAACATCTACCATATGCCCATGTTTGCTGCTCCTTGCTGTCGTGAAAAATGTTACAGTGAATACAGTTTCTCTGCTTGTAGAACTGTCTGTCAGGAAAAAGCCAAGAATCTCACTAGAAACATTTGTTGTTGGTGGGTACATGTCCTGTCACGGTCGGGCCAGATTGTGAGGTCAAAGGTTGAACGAGGCTGAAAGGACAAAGAACTCGTGAGTGTGTTAGGTAGATTATCTGCCCCTGGACAATGAATGCGCGGGGATCGGTGCACGCGCGTGTGTGTGGGATCCAAACGTGCGGGCGTGTGCTCGAGTGTGCGGGCGTGTTTGTAGTGTGTACCGACCTCGTGTGCTCGAGTGTGCGGGCGTGTGTGTAGTGTGTACCGACCTCGTGTGCTCGAGTGTGCGGGCGTGTGTGTAGTGTGTACCGACCTCGTGTGCTCGAGTGTGCTGGCGTGTGTGTAGTGTGTACCGACCTCGTGTGCTCGAGTGTGCGGGCGTGTGTGTTGTGTGTACCGACCTCATGTACTCGAGTGCGCGCGCGTGTGATTACCGACGTGTGTGAGTGAGCATGAATGGGAGCTAGAAGTTCAAATGGGATTTTGTCATGTGTTTAAAGAATGGACACGAGAAAGAAAGAAGGAGAAAAGAGGGACTGGGTAGGGGAAGAAGTGAAAAGGGGGGGGGGGGGGGGGGTTACTTTTGTGCTAAAAAAGGGAACTTTTTTGCGCTAAGAAATGTAATTTTTCAGAGGTATCATATATTTATGTATTTATACTTTGTTACATATTAAAAGGTACATTAGGGGATACAATATACACAGAGCCTCACCAACAAAGTAAACCCGATATATAATCGTTATACCTTCATCCTGGTCACTGGGCGGGATGTTTAATGATTTCACTTTGGTGCCGCATTCACATGTGAGTTACTTAAACTTATTTAGATCATCGTTTGCGACAACAGCAACAACAAACACATGTATTGTGGAAACCGGTATGAAGCTAGCACATCATTTCCGTGAACATCTAAATGATAGTCTCTTAAACTGGCCTTGCTCAGTTTTAATAGTTCTGATCACCGAGGCGGTAGCGACATCTCAGTTACTGCTTTGAAATCTTGCTTCGGTGGTCAAATCACCCGCTGTCCCTAAGAAAAACGTTTTAGTCACAGTTTTGGCATTCTTGGTCCTGCAGGGATCAATCAGCACAACTGTATTTAATTATTACTTTTAAAATTTATTTATTCAGCTTATTTATATACCTCTTCTTTAGCTTTTAAATACCTTCTTACTTATTTCGTTTCGTCAAATAGCCCTTCGTGTCCAACTTTGTTTCCTGTCACGTATTTCATGGTTTCATATTGCCCTTGTTTGTTTACAGCACATCCGGCTTTAACTTTATAGCCTAAAGATGGCCGTGGTTTACAGCTCCGTTCTTCCCTGTTGTCCATGCACTATTTGTGTCGTATTTAGCACTCTGTTGTCCAGGCACTGTTTGTGTCGTATTTAGCACTCTAATGATAAAGATTGTGATGGAAACGTTCGGTTGTATCTGTTTGTTTTCAGCTCCCCCTCCCTCCCTCCGTTTAGCATTCTAGTCAGATTGTATATTGTTTGGTTCTTTCAGTCGAACGTTGTTGCAGCTGTGGCCCGTGGTGAGGTTTTGTGTGGTTAGCTGACTGTTGCTATTCGCACCCAGAAGGACAGTCAGATAACAAAAAAAATAAAAATATTTTTAATTATAGCAGTAGTTGTAATTGATGGTGGGGGAGGGGGGGGCGGGGGGGGGGGGGGTTAAGATTACTTAATAAACAAATATTACAATTTAAGACAATAATCCCAAAGTAAAGTTGAAAGAAAATAAAATAAAAAGTCTATGCCGTCAATCTCTCTGTGGTAGAAACAAGGATGCCTTCGACGACGTTGTGATAATATATTCCGTAATTACAGAAATTACAGAAAATGTATGGCAAGATTATCAGTTACGTCATCTGTGTGCATTTGCCTAATAGAACCTAATAGGGGGTCCTCACACACACACACACACACACACACACACACACACACACACACAGAGTATTTCCCGCAGACAGGCTAACGAGCGTCGCCTACAATGAAGACCTCACTGTGTTTGTTTTTGTGAAAGAAAAGAAGTTTCCATGAAACAAAAGAATTCTCAAACACTGCCGGGCTAACAACAAGCAAATGTTGACAAACAACCCGAGCGCATTCTCTAGCGGCTTCAGACGGAGCTAATCATGATTGTTGATGGGAAGTGAGGGGGAGGAAAGGGGGGGGGGGGGGGTAATGAGTAAACAGGACAACAGCCAGCAGTAACCTGGTGGCAGAGACAGAATCAGGCTGGACAATAAAAATGTTCATATATTGTCCTTACAGATGGAGAAAAAACAAGAAACGCGAAAAGGAGAAAAACGAATAATTAAAATAATAACAATTATTATAGAAAGCAAGACTTGGAAAGGCAGAAGGAAAGAAAGAAAGAAAGGAGGACGAATATGGTGATGACATTAGTCAACAGTAATTGTCCTCGGAACATAAATATAAATCCTAGGGGACCAGTTAGCTAATTCCCTTCCTCGAAATAACGTCAGCGGTACTGATAGGCACTCCTAGCTGGGGAAATATAAAGCATGAAATTAACGAGCGAACTTGATTTTCAGAGGGTCACAAATTGGACACGCAGACCCGTCTCACACTCGGCCCTTCCAAACATCACACAACAGTTGTATTTTATCAATAAAGCACATTAAAATTATATAACAATATGAATAATATGAATATCAGGTGGGGAAAAAACCCAAATGCAAGCATGGTAAAATGTATACGCACACACACGCGTGCGTGCAC